GGCATAATGAAAACCCCGCCCCTTTTTTTTCTTATATGGTTGCCACGCCCCTAAAAGGGTGTGTTAAAGATGGCTCCACATCTGGATTTTTTTTCTTATGAATGTCAATGTTTCTGGAAAGTTCCATTTCTCTATGAGTGTGGGAACAATATTTCCAGGGTGGGCATAATGAAAACCCCGCCCCCTTTTTTTTTCTTATATGGTTGCCACGCCCCTAAAAGGGTGTGTTCGAGATGGCTCCACATCTGGAATTTTTTTTCTCATGAATATAAACGTCTGTGGGACGTTTTATTCGTTCATGAAATATGGGCACAATGTTTTCCAAAGTGGGCATAATAATTACCCCCCCTTTTTCTTTTAATGGCTGCCACGCCCCCAAAAAGGTACTTTTGTGGTGGCTCCGAATCTGGAAAACACTAATAATCTATATGATTATGTCTTTGTGAAGTTTCCTGCTTTTGTAACAAGTGGGAAAAAAACATTTTCACTGCGGGCACGACAAGAACCGCCCCCCCCCCTTTTTTTAAATGGATGCCACGCCCCCAAAAGGGTAAATTTGCGATGGCTCCACATCTTAAACATTTTCTCGCATGAATATAAACATCTGTGCCAAGTTTCACGCTTTTATGCAAAAGTGCACAATTCATCGATATTTTGTCACATATCCGCTGGACTATTACACAACCTTGTGTAAACTAAATAAAATACATTCACATATTTTTCAGAGTAGGATTTTTGGGTAAACAATGATGCCGGAATTGATTTTCTTTTTACTTTTTTTCTGGTAAAAAACATAGTCTTTGTTTTTTTACTGGATACTGACTGTAGCGAGCTGCTAATCAAAAATAATAAATTCAAAATACAAATCACACAACCGTTAAAGGGAAAATACATCATTTGCAAACATCAAAAAATAAAACTACCAAATCATTTTGAAATACCTTGCTGGACTGTTAGTGAATGACAGTGTAAAGCATCCTGTAAAATCATGGCACCTGGTATACTGCCATTTTCAAGAAAAGTGGTATTTTTGTATCAATTTCCAACGCTGATCGGCCGATCAGCGTTGGAAACAACTGGCTTTTTTTTCAAATACTGGCCCCAATTGACCATCGCACTTGTTTGCAATCGATTACAAACCTATGAACGGGTACGAGCCAGCTAGACTGGTTCCCTGAACTTACAATTCCCCAATGTATGTAAACTGCTCTGTTTCTTCTTATATGGAGTCAGGGAACCAGACTACAGGAAAATGATCGTTTTTCTTGTTTTTTATAGCTTTTTCGAACCCAAAACCTCAAAAAAGTCAGTGTAACTATATTTGCTATATATTTCCAACCCCCCAATTCCATCCATTTCTGAAAATTACAGCAAAAGCAAATGATGTATATTCCCTTTAAAAAAAAAAAATTGTAGGCCCCTACTTCAATTTATTTTTTTTGCACTTTGGATTTTTTTTTCAAGATTTTTGGCTTGTTCAGATTTATTTTCAAGTTTTCAAGATGGGTCACAAAATTTCTTGAAATTTTTGTTCGGCAACACTGGTTGTGTTCAAGGTGACACTTTTTGCACATATTTATTATACCTGTCTATTCCATATAAGAAGTGTGATGTGACTGCCGTTGCATATAAAGTAGGAATATTTCACTTTTTTCCCACAATTTCTTTGGGTTACTCATCAGCTGGCTAGCATTTCTTTGCACAGAATGTGGAAAGTGATGAGGAAGAATATATTCCTGGAGTTATCCACCCTCAAAGAAACCTCGCATGACATGTTCCCAATCCAGAGGTGTGACCAAAACACAGACTTGTATTTTATGATCAGCAGGAGACAACAATGCAGAAGTTGTAAAGAAATCCTAAAGATTTGTCTTCTTGGGTCTCACTGCTTAATGCTACAAAAACCTGCGCGTTTGATCCAATTCTGCAGGTTTCATCATCAGTTACATCTTTCCCTGACATACACTGTATATTATCAAAGGAATTGTAGTAGTGCATTCACACGGAAAAGGTTGTAGTACAGAACAGAGGAGGTCAACAAGGGAACAACTTACATTGTGACAATTAAATCAGCAAAGACGATCATGAGGTTGATGATCAAGCCTGTCTTGATGACAACTCAAATACAGACTCTGACTCTAAATTCGAGTAAATTTGAATGATAGTCAGGGAGTTTCATCAGAATCAAAAGTGATATAAGGGAATAAAGTTAATAAGGGAATAAATGTGTGCTCCGGAGGTTTTTATCACTCGTTTAATACCGCTTAGAGTCTGGGTGCTGATAATTACCCGAGCCGGAGGCCGACCAAGCACATATTTATTCCCATTCATAAATACCTTATCCGTAAAAAAATATCAAATAATTCGTTCAAAAAATCCCGATTTTGTTCAACAAGTTCACTTCATGCTTTTTGAAACATCCCTCTAGCAAAATAATGGAGTGTTCAGCTGGCGAGTAAGATGTAAACAACCCTTTTATGGAGATTGACGCGCGCGTAACATGTTCTGCGCGATGTCACGCAGAACGCACCTGGGGCGTTGCGTTTTGAATTTAGAACTATAAAATTCTGACTCGCTTGTAGTGTTGCGCATGCCTACGTGAGGATTGTGAACGTTCAACCAATGAAACGGTAAGAGGCACTGGATTTTTAGGAGTCCACATTTTATTGTGACACTGGAAAAGTGTTTAAGACCAGCTAGCCATGTCTTTATCATCCGTTTAAGACCGGTCACGTGACAGGCTCTCGACCAATAGGAATAGCTAAACTGTCTGAGGTATTTATGAATAAATGTTCATAATTATTAAGCTCATTTGGGAGGGTTTGGTGGTTCATTAAATCAGATAAGCCCTATTGCAGTATGTAGAAAGAACTAAAGTTCCATCTGGTTGCAAAATACACAATATTTATTACATTTATGAATGTATGAAAATACCAGCAGTCGCAACAAAATCATATTTAATTGTCAAGAAGACCAAAAATTGCTTAATTTTTTCCCCATGAAAACTCACATTTTCTGTGCAGCAAGTTTATGGAAATACATGTGCACTTATTGTTCCCCCGCGGCGAAGCCGAAGGGACATACTATTTTCCCCTTGTCCTTCCGTAGGTGGGTATGTGGGTGGGTGGGTGTGTGTGTCCGGACAAATCTTGTCAGCGTGATAACTTGAGAAATACTTTACATGTGAACTTCAAATTTGGTTTGTGGATTGTTCTTGGCAATCCTAAGAAGCCTATTGCATTGGGGGCCGAAAGGTCAAGGGTCAAGGTCTCAGTGGCTAAAGCAAAAGAAATTTTGTCAGCGTGATAACTTGAGAAATGCTTTACATGTGAACTTCAAATTTGGTTTGTGGATTGTTCTTGGCAATTCTAAAAAGCCTATTGCATTGGGGGTCGAAAAGTCCAGGGTTTTTCAAGGTCACAGTGGCTAAAACAAAAGACATTTTGTCAGCACGATAACTTGAGAAATACTTTACATGTGAACTTCAAATTTTGGTTTGTGGATTGTTATTGGTAATCCTAAGAAGCCTATTGCATTGGGAGCCGAAAGGTCCAGGGTCAAGGTCACAGTGGCTAAAACAAAAGAAATTTTGTCAGCGCGATGACTTGAGAAATACTTTACATGTGAACTTCAAATTTGGTTTGTGGATTATTCTTGGCAATCCTAAGAAGCCTATTGCATTGGGGGTCAAAAGGTCCAGGGTCAAGGTCACAGTGGCTAAAACAAAAGAAATTTTGTCAGCGAGATAACTTGAGAAATACTTACATGTGAACTTCAAATTTGGTTTGTGGATTGTTCTTGGTAATCCTAAGAAGCCTATTGCATTTTGGGCCGAAAGGTCAAGGGTCAAGGTCACAGTGGCTAAAACAATAGAAATCTTGTATTTATTCTGAGATCATAGGGATTAATTCATATAAAACCTACAGAAAACACTAATGCTGTCAATGAACGTTCCATGTGACCCAAGTACATGTACATGTTAGTTGATGTTAAAAGAGTGGTGTTAGGTCATGGGAACAGTCATGGTTGGCGGGGCATTTGTGTTTGTAAACACACCTGACTTGTTTTTATATCAGATTTGCAAGCCATTTGTAGGGGTATCTGTCATAATTATGATCTAATAGTTACAGTTTCATGAAAATAAAACATGCCAATTATTATAGTACAAGGAAACAACCATGACCTTCAGAAAATACAGCCCGCCAAAATGGACATGCTCTTCTAAGATTACACATTCGACTTCTATACCAATTTTAATACATTTTAACCTCAACCATCAACCTGTAGAATGTAGCCATTGAAAACTCAAAAGCTAATTTGAAATGAACCTTCTACACCAGCCTCTCTCCCCCCCCCCCCCCAAAGAAAAACTGCCTCTGCTTATATCTGCCCTGGTGGCCTGCAGTGTGCTTCGTTAAAATAACAACACGCATGGGTCAGTAGTCTTCGAGTGCAGTTTCAAAAGGAGAGTGAGCAGTTTAAAGGGAATATATATACAAGATTTGCAAACATCCAAAAATATAACTACCAAATTTCTATGAAATACTGTACTTGACTGTTAGTGAAGTACAGTCGAAAGCATACCCTGTAAAACTCATGGCACCTGATTTGCTGTCATTCTCAAGAAAAGTGGTATTTTTGTATCAATTTCCAACGCTGGTTGGAAGAAAACTGTTTTCCCCCAAATACTGCCCCCAATTTACAATATTAAGTTAGTCGACATTTTGTTTGCAATCGTTAGCACATCTTTGAATGGGTTCACGCAAGTTTCCCTGTTTCCCTGACCATACAATTCCCTGGCGTCTATAAATTGCAGTGTTGAATTTAAAGAGGGGTCGGGGAACCAGACTACAAGAAAATGATTGTTTCTTGGGTTTTCCAGCATCTATGAACACAAAACTTCATACAAGTCCGTGTGAGTTTGCTTTAAAATACTTAACCCACCCCCCCCCCCCCCCCCACAGCCTTTTCTGAAAATTACAGGAAAAGCTATGTTGTACATTCCCTTTTATGAGCTTATGACATGCAATGACATGTTGGCCACATTAGGCAGGTGGCCTCAATACAGTGTTTAGCCAAATACAGGTGAAATAATTGTAACCTTTTGAAAGAATTTAATGCTGGGATGCTGTAGAGGACATCAAGCAAGTGTTCATGGACTCATGGACTAGATTGGGAAGACCAAGGACAGCAAGATCAGAGGACAATCGCTGCAGTTCGTCAGCAGTTGATCGACCATCAACATGACAAAAGTGCAAGACGGAATGGAGTTGGGCTCAGCCCAGCCTCTTTCAATCGGATAAACACGACTTGACCTTCATCTTCATCCGTATAGAGGAATTTCGAATTACCACCGTCTCCGCATTTCCACATTGAAACCGAGGGTCTCTGTGGCACGCATTCTGCACGTTCTGTTCCTCACATTGCAGGCAGGTAGGTCGGCCCTCTCGTTAAAGACGTTTTCCTTTTTTGTAAATCTTGCGATTTTTTTAGTGGCGGTGGCATGTAATAAATCCCACGTTAATATAGCATAAATATACAAGTATGTCACTGCCATACTATTATAGGATATGCCAATATTGTTGACATTTTTTTGGTCACTGTTTTGTGTATGTATATCGGCCATGTCGGTAGATTCAAGGAACCCGACGATTAAGCGTGGTTACTGTAGGCCGAAGTTCAGAAACTAGACCGATTTTCGAGGTTCCTCAATCAAGAAGATTATACACTGAAATATTATTATTGTTTCGTAGTTTTGTTATGAGCTTAGGTTTCTCAGTTGTTTTGTATAGACTAGTAGAATATTGGAAAGACAGCAGTGCCATCTTCAATTAATTACAGGGTTGCAGATGTGAATAAATGGAGGCTCTCGTCAAAATTGCATTTCATGTTTACAAATAAAACGGCTATTTTTAACGATTGTAGAATATAGCCAGACTGCCTGAGCGGTGAATTGATTTAGAAAAATCCATGTACGAAACTTTGCTAGACATCATTGTCATTTTAAAACAGTTTTTAATAATTACATAAATTGATACTTTTGTATTCATTAGACAATGGCTAATCTCACAGAGAAGATGACATTCCAGGAGCAAAACGGGATGTTTCTGTGCCTGCTCTTCAAAAAGTAAAATGTGAAGACCGAAGACCGAAGTTTTGACTTAAATGCCGTGGAGATTCTTGCAAGGCCAAGGCGCAGATGATAGAGGTATGTATGCAGAAAAATGTTCGGCCACAAAAAAAGTTCTGCTTCCGATTTATACATGGGATTTGGAAATAGGGTAGGTAGGCAGGGTTTATTATTTTTTTTGACCATGTTATTTTGTTTACAATCATATGGAGGTGTCGGTATGTAGTCAAGTGTACAAAAAGTAATTGACGATTTTCGTTGTTTTTTTTTTTCATTTCCCCCTCCCTCCCCCCCAAACAAAATAGGGTAGGAGCTGTCAAAAGATGGTAGGTAGGGTAACCAGAAGCAGAACTATTTTTATTTTGGCCTCATTTGTACACCGTTTAAGGCTAATTAAATTAGTGTCTGGTGCTGCCTATGTTGTGGGCAAGCATGTGGGCATGGCTGGGAGGGCCTGGGGGGGGGGGGGGTGTTCCTAGTACATTTTGTATACAGTCACAGACCAAGGGTGGACAGAGAGGTTACCACTGAGGAGGAGGGTGAGGTTGTCCTGGGAGGGGAGGGGGCAGGGACAGAATGGTATTCACAAGTAAAAAAATAGCCATGTTTGGGAAAATGTTGGGGGGGGGCCTCCACACCTCCTTGGATCCACCATTGCTGACAGTACTTTTGCAATTATTGCAGTGATTGTGGAATTGACATGTAGTACTCCATTTCTATGTTCTTATAAGACAATGAAAACCCACTTTTATGCAATAGCACTCACATACCTGGCTGCAGAGAGGGCATGTTTTTTGTTTATGAGAGAAATTATCAGATGGAATATGAAGATGATGAGAGCAATTGTTGTTTACATTCAATAAAAATGACTACATGTGAATCAATGCAATAACTCACACAGTACATGCCAACTTACAATCACCAATATATGTGAGGGCTAAAACCCGTAAACCATGTTACATTATTCTGACAATACAAATTGTTGATTTTTCCCATTTCTTGTTATTTTCCATTTTAGGATCCAACAGCTTGTCCTTAGACATGGAAATGAGTCTACAATCGTTGATCCCACTCCAGATGAGCATTGGGAGAGTCTCTAGTGCAGGGTCAGCTGGCATTAACTGGAGCAGAATAGTGTGACTTTGTTGTTTACACACACAAAGGTTTAATCATTCAACGAACACCTTTTGAATTAACATTTTGGAATATCCTTTACAAAAAAAAAATGCAGAAGTTTATTTTGGCTTTTACATCAAAGTGGCTATTGAACAATTCTAATCTATTGTCTCGCAAAGTTAAAAACTTTTTTTTTGCATGTAATCATTTTCCCTTGACAGTGTTATAACTCGATCAAGACTTTTCAGCACCCACAGCATTGGCTGAGATGGTTCTTTTTTTTTATATTTTGAATTGTGAATAATTATGATTCATAGTTTTAAAGAGGCATTCATGTTGATACATTAAGTTTGTAGTCATTAGACATTAGGCATAAGTGATCAACTGGTATCGCACACTGGTTTGGGTATCAAACATTCGTCAAAATAGTGTCAGTGTAGACCCCTATCAAAATATTAGAAACAAAATGTGTTGAACTTGTATAACTCAGTAGTATGCATTTATGAAACTTAAGGTGTACATCCTTATATTGGCAAGTTTTGCATGCTTGATTTAAGGGCTTACATAAAAATACACAGTTACAAAAATTAGTCAAGAAGCCAAGCACATTAAAATTTATGTTTTATGTCATATTTATTTCACAGGCATTACATATGACAGTAACTGAATGTAAACCAAGCATAAACAAATCGACCCCTTAAAGAATATGCTCCAAAACATTAATTTTTTCTCACTTCAATAAAAGTCAAGAAAGTGCTGGATACATGTATTTGAAATAAAGTGAACAAGTGATGTATGTATTTAAATTAATGTCAGTGAGAGTATTTGTTCTTTCTTGGAGTGTAGAGTTTATACATTAGGCAAAAAAAAATCTGCTTCTGATATGCCCCACCAACCCTATTTTGAATGCCCCTACTCTAATTGTTTGGGTTTTGGGGGGGGGGGGAATGAGGGAAAAAACCTGAAAACCATCAATTATTACACGTACCTTTTTATATCTAAACGCAGACACCTACGATTGTACACCAAAATGCTGTTTATTACTAGACATGTACATTTTTGTGCATACTACTCAAGAACTAGACTTGTCTATGAAAAACTTCGGGAAGAATCCCGTACATGGACATCACTGAGTTTTCCCTGCAGTGACCTATCACCCATCAGAAAGTGGAAACGTCCTAAAGAGTCAAATTTGCAGCAGGGAAAATATTGAAGCATGGGCCTACTGAGTAAACAGTTTGATTGGTATTTTTCAGACCAGTCTCATAGGGTTTGTGCACAGGTATGCAACTCCTTCCGATCCAATTCTTCAATTGAATATGAATCAATTAATACGGTTCAACTAAAAAAAATGGGTGCGAGGTTCAAGGATTTCTTTCAGAACAGCGTAGGCCAGGTAAACTCGTAGTTTCTCCTGACACAGCCAGCCTCGTTTTCAAACCCGGAAGTGCGCAGATCGACGCTAAACTCGTCGTTGTGGGATTCCTCTATCGCATCCACATTCAACACAAGCTTCTTGCTGCTGACCTTGAAAGAAATTTATGACAAACAATAAAATCCAGTTTTGAAACCAACCCGATTTAGTTTTTTGGTTTCTTTTTTATGCACTCATGTCTTCTTCTTGAATACTTATTCTCATGCACACCATGCCTATTGTGTTTAACATAAAAAGTAAACCAACTGCAATTTTGCATCAAAATCTCATGACAATGGCACTCAGTGATGCATGACCCTGGAAATGTAAACAAGGTATCATTGAAAAGTATAGAGATTACGCTTTCAGATGATACCAGTTTTATAGCCAGTAAACATTTAGTCTGTCCATACTGGCTCTTCAAAGTTGGGTTTCCTTTTTATTTAAACACCCTGTATATATATATTTCATATTTTAAAAACATATGTAGCACCAAATATAATTATGACTGGTAAGCCAAATTAATAAACTAAGAACTTTCAGATGAAAAAAATGGCTTCCTCAATCACCATTATATTACCAATTAAACGAAATAACCCTAAAATCTGTTTCGTTCAAAAATGTTATTTCAAGAATTGTCGCTACAATTGTCTTTAAACGGCAACCTTTGAAATGTAAACTAGATCTTAGAAAATTGTTTCTTGAAATATACAGATTTCACATAGCTTAAACTTCATCAGGTTAGTTGCTAAGCACCTGTCTTTAGATCTTAGCACTTTGCTGCTTCAAACGAACAAAGTGCACAAATGACAAATGATTTGCCCTACATTACCCTTCATATTGATGGCAGGATTCAATGTTTTTGCCCATCTGCAGATGGTTCTGCAAAGACAGAGACAAGTCTGATACAGTCCACTGATGAACAAAATCAATTTGATGTTAAAGAGACACTACAAGAACTACATGAAAAGGTAGGTATCAAAAAGGTCATCTCAAAATAATGGGTTATTATGGAAATTAACACAGGTAAAGTGGTTTCACCTTTGCGGCAAAGCGTTGCAAATAATTAACATTTTCTTCATTTCAAATAATGACACCACACAAAATTTCCTCCCCTCCTACTTGGGTTTAATTCGGAAGTATCTAACCCGCTCAGCAACAGAGAAACTTGTTCACGCCCTCATTTCATCTCGGTTGGATTTTTGTAATTCCCTGTTGTATCAGCTACCCCGTAACCAACTTGCTCGCCTACAAAGACTCCAAAATTCTGCCGCTCGAATTGTGACCCTGACACCCTCTAGAACCCATATCCCCCGATTTTGCAGTCTCTGCATTGGCTCCCTTTTGCTGACCGGATTTAGTACAAACTGTTACTGCTTGTTTTTCATTGCCTTCATGATTCAGCTCCTGAATACAACATAGACCTATTAACTCCATATAATCCATCCAGGCGATTGAGATCTTCTGATGCTTCTTTGCTGATTGTCCCTCGCACTCACAAATCTTGGGGGTGATCGATCATTTTCTTATGCAGGTCCTCATCTTTGGAACAAACTACCCCTCGGCATTCGCAATATCTCATCGCTTTCTGAATTTAAAGTTGCCCAAAAGACCTATTTGTTTCAGACCACTCAGAATATTCTTGTTTAGTTAAATTTAATTGTTTTGTTATTTCTGATTTGATATAATTTTTGTTTGCGCCATGAGCGTCATTTATGGCGGATAATGGCGCGGTATATTTTTCCGTTATTATTATTATTATTATTATTATTATTTTGGGGGATGCAGTTGTCTTTCCAGAGGCTGCTTTGGTGATTATGATTTTATTTTGTCTTTTTCTTTATTTATTCAGGACAAGAACAATAATTCAGCGTGTGCTAGTTCTTGTGAACCATGGAAATGTTCCAATTGTAGTAAGGTGTTTGGAACATTTTCTCTGCTTGAAGTGCATTCATGTGAATCCAAGATTAAGAGAGCCAAACCATGCCAACAGCAAAACGTCAGGACATCACAAAACAGGTTAAGTGCAAGGCAGTCAAAAGTTTGTGAGAAGACACAACAGCTAGAGCTTGGGAATAAAGACTTGCATGTTTATACACAAGTGAAAAAGGAGGAAAATCCTGGCCCTTCAAAGCTACATGTCAGGAAAGAACCTATGACTTTTGCTTGTCATCTTTGTCCAAAGGTTTTTTTAAACCATGACAAACTGAAAACACATAGCTATATACACACAGGAGAACGTCCATTCCTGTGCACCAATAGTCAGTGTACGAAGGCCTTCATTTCAAAGTATAAACTATTGCGGCATATGACCACTCATTCTCCAATGAAAATTCATATATGTTCATACTGCGACAAGAAATTTCATCGAAAGGATCACCTCAAAAATCACTTGCAAACTCATGACCCCAATAAAATATCATTTAGGTGTACTTATTGTGGTAAGATGTACAACACCAAACCAGGATTCAAGAAGCACATGGCATTACATGCTGCTGCATCTGGTGAGTTAACTTGTAAAATCTGTAACAAAGACTTTGAAAATACACACAATCTACTTGAGCACATCAAATTTCATTCGGGAAAGTCCAGTGGAACTAAAGAGAAGAAGCATCAATGTGAACACTGTGATAGACAGTTTTACACAAGAAAAGATGTTAGACGCCACATGGTTGTACACACGGGTAGAAAGGATTTTCTTTGCCAGGCTTGTGGGCAGAGATTTGGACGCAAAGATCACCTTGTAAGACACACAAGAAAGAGCCATGACAGAAGTAACAATATACGGGTTAAATTGGATGAACAGGAATTAGCCACAGCAAAAGTTCAACAAGCACTAGAAATAGACCAGTTTCAAGGACAACTCCACATTCCTTTTACTGAAGAGATTCCTGTGCATTGCTCTGTGGGACACTTTACACCCTCCTCTCACCGATTGACAGATCTATTAAAAGTCCCCCCAGTGCCGCCACCTACATTCTCCAACAAGATATCACGTGGGTTCCCTTCTCCAGCAAAACAAACAGTGAGAGTAAATGCAAGGGAGAGAATGAGGATAGAGCCAGCAGTGGAAACAGAAAGTTTGAATGTGAAGAATATTTCAGGTGAGTCTCTTTGCTCAGAATCGATTGACTTAGGACAAGGTGTGGGTTTTTTGCCCATCCAGCATCAAACACAGTCTGGTACACCCTATGCAATGTGCCCTGCCAATGTCACACAATCTCCCAAAACACCACCAGAACACCACCAAGAGATAACATGTAAGCTACATCAGCACCAACTTCATCAATCTCCACAGTCCCATTTTCAGCAACAGACAAAACTTCAAAGGCAGCATCATCCCCAACAACAGTTGCAAATGATACATGATGTACATCCTCCTCTCTCTTCAACCCAAACTTCTAGCATCAGTCAAACTTGTTCAAAAGTATTACAGGTGCCATTTTTAGATATGCGCTCTGCACTCCCTCAATTCCATCAAGCTTTTCAGTAGTTATAAAAATGAGATATCTATTTACTGACACCACTTCAATCTTATTAATAAAACCTATTGCGAATTAGTCCAGCACCCGATATAATGAAAGTCATCGTAACTTACGATGCATCACAGTGCTGCGACGTGTCGTATCCCTACGGTGCGTAGTAGCTGCGACGCATCCTGCGATCCATTTCACAAAACACGTCCTAAGTGCGACGTGTCATAGGTGAATTTATAACACAACGCGGTGACTGTTTTACGTATTTATTCAGTGTACAGTTAATAGATGCCTGATATTCAACAATGAGCCATTGGATCTCCTCTCACAAGTTTTAAAACATAAAAAACATGGATAACTTGTAAAGCAATTTCGAAGGAAAACAAGCTCTCAGTGGAATGTATAGCTACTTTGAAATTTCAACTGCAATATTTTAGGCTAATTAATAATTATTGAATGCATTTTCTTTTTACAACTTAACACACATTGTATCGGTATTAAAGTCTCGTTTATGTATTTTTATGGCATAAAAAATTGCATAAAAAAAAAAGAACGCTTCTAACTTTGCGATGATCACTAGACACGTCATGTTTTAAGCCGTTGTTAAGGACCATACAAAGGGTTCAACCATCGCAAGTTTCATGAAATGGATCATACGTTGCGGCGCGAGTTACGACCTGTTACATGTCATAACTCGGTTGCGACGCGTCGCAGCACCAGTTTCCCAAATAGTGTTCTCTTCGTACATTTCTTAATCACTATTTAAATGCATAGTTTTGAGTGAGAACTGAAAACAAACAAGTCTCTTTAACTAAAAAAACAAAATATGTTATCATTGCAAAGGATTCCAGTAATATACTTGTATCTACATGTATCTATGATATTACAGCCAACAAACAGATTTTGTGAACAATGTCACACGATACAAGGAACTTTTCATTCTCAAATGTCCAGTGATTTCAGAGTAAAGGAATATGTTACTTGGCTTTTGAGTAACTTCAATTTTATAGGTATTTATTTAAAACTGGAATACTTAAATTCCATCCCATCTAGGTTTTAATTCACAGTCAGTTAAAGCCCAGTATTAAACCATGTATATTGGAGATGGATACAGATACACGGTTTTAAATCATATGTTTATATTTTCCTCATTTACGTCTCTCCAAATCTCGATAGACTTTGTACATGTTCTCAATTTAAAGGGGTACTGTATCCTGAAATCCACAAAATTTTCATGTTTTGGATTATTTACTGAGAAACCAACCTAATGTCTTACCGTTCCCGAGAAAAGACCCCCCCCCCCCTAAAAAAAATGATTTACATCAGACACTACGGATTACGCATACGTTTTTCCTGTTGTTTCAGTCAATGTATAATACAAGTTGTGTTTGTCACATAAAATTACACACAGCACCAATGCACAGATGTGGTTTCTTACACGTCTGCAAAAGGCGAACACTTCATGGCCGGATTCATAACTAGCATGAACAGCCAGACTTTTGGGGGTCGCAAAAAATAGACCCCTAAACTCGTTCTCGCACACATAACACAAGAATAAAACAAAAACGCCCGTTTTTTAAGGATAGTTGTGTAGATGTTTACATTGTTTTGTAGCCCAATTGTGCTCATTCCAGGATGCAGTGTGCCTTTAATGAAACTTGGAAAGGATATAGACCCCATAATATAGTCCTGCATTGACAAGAGATATGATGAAATCATTACGTCTCATGACATCAGTTTATAGGTACATTTTCAGAATTCTATACGAAGAGAACTAACCTTCCCTTGCATGTATTCTACAAACTAGTACTTTTTGATGGGTGTCATGATGACATCACACATTTTTAAAAATTCCATGCATATCTGTGACTAAACAAACCTGTGTTACAACATGAATTATGAATGGAGCATGTTTTGTTCCTGAAATATGGGTAAAAGACAGAAAAATGAAAATTCCATAAAAAGAACACACGATGCCATCATCATGACATCCCTTTTTACAAAGTTTTAACCCAATCAGACTTGTACTTATAAATGCACCTTTAAGCTGACATCACATGACACATGATGACATCCATCTTCACGGCACATCTTTGATATTATAGTATTTGTGTATGTTAGTTTCAATATGACTGTTTCATGTCAAAAGTGTTGTACATGTGCTATGGTTTCCACGTTGTCCATGGCTGACCGACAATCTGAACAGGTGTGTATATAACACGCATTACATGCTTTATCTACATGAAGTGTCAAATCTTTTTGGCAAGTACCAAATGCAGAGGACAAAGTAAAAATTGTGAATTGTCTATATGTGTGCAAAATTTTCAATTAATTGGCTGTGTCGTCTTTAATGGTCTATTTTGCTGATTTGTCTTATTTGCCCAAATTGCTGCGCATATGGGATAGAGTATGGAACAAAAACAAGAAAGAAAATCTAGATGTGTACATGTATGTCTGTTTAATGAACAGATCATATAAGGCTTTTCCGCATTTAAATTTTGTTTCTGTATATTCATGCTTTTTACATGTACATTATCATGTAAACGATCAATTTCATGCATGAACAAAGTTCACTGATAACATGATGACTTAATTTTTATGAATGACATTTTTATGGCATCATAATGAGTCATATTTGTTCATAATTCTGTGCTCATTAGCATGACCTGCTCTTCCAATTTTAGCATGTTTTGTTTGGTAGATTGTTGAAAAATACTTTAGAATATTGAAAAATTAAAAAAAAAATCCATACATATATCACATAATGATGTCATCATGATGTCACTTCAATTTTCACCTGTAACACATCTCTGTCTATATACCAAGATTCAACCTATCAAGAGTTGCAGTACTTTAGATATAGGACTTGAGAAATATACACCTTTAAGATGATGTCACATAACCCATTATAATGTTATCATAATGTCACTTTACGATACACTTACTTACAATGTGGTCTTTGATCTGTGCCAAGATTTAAGTTGATCTGATCAAAGACAATGTAACTTTTGTAAGACAGTGGTAAAAATGTAACATTTGTTAAAAATCAACCATAATGTTATTGTAAAGTCACTTCGGATTTTACATATTAATAACATTAGAGCATCCCTTTTTATTTCTTTGGTTCGAACCTGAATTCTGTTTTGGGCTCTTGACCCAAGACAAAAAACCCAGAACCTGTAATAAACACCTGACTATGTACATACCAAGTTATTTCAATTAACATATGGGGAAAAATAAAATTCAGGCAATCAGGCTCTGTGTTATTTGAAAAGCTATAAAAACCATATTTCTATGCGCAATACGGCGCACAGCAACCAGTGGGATCTCTGAAGACGAGAGATATTCTCTCTCATTGTATTTGGTGTCAATTGTCTGAAGCCACTACAGCCAAAGCGCTAGTGAGCTGCTTGGTGCAGATGTGTAAGGGGTGTGGCCTAGTGGTTAGGGTCCGTACTCAAGATCAGAGGGTCAGGGGTTTGAATCCAGCTGCTGGCCATATGTTGTGTCCTTAGGCAAGCCACTTCATCCACACTTGCTTCACTCCACCCAGGAGTATAAATGGGTACCGGCATTAGCTGGGGAGTAACCTGTGATGAACTAGCATCCCATCCAGGGGGAATAGAAACATTCTCAGTCATTTCAAGCTATTAAAACCGGAAATAAACGCTGGCCTTGATGGTCCACATGGGCTGTGACAGACTCTACTTACTTTTTACTTTGATGCAGATAATGATGCACTCATTGCATTAATCAAAACTAGAGACAATACGCTTGTTTGTACTTTTAATTTAGTTACTTATCCATGAATCTACCAATTTTTTTCCAGATTTTAATTAGTATTTTTTTACCGACCTCTCTTCTTAGGCAAAAAGGTGAGATCATAGAAATATAAAGGGACTTTGTTATCTAACTTCCATTCTATCTGTGTTGAATAATCTCAATTCTTTATGATGTCTAGCTGTTACCCAACAAGGCAACAAACCTATTTTTTTTTAAATTGAATTTAGTGTGTTGTGTTTGTGAGATATGGCGATTATCTTTAAAAAAAAAAAACACACACACAATAGATCCATATATAAAATCAAATGATGACGTCATCAATCACATCACTCCAATGTTTACCTAACGCATCCCTGACTACATGCATACAATGTTAACAAGTCGATGGAACTTTGTTCCTATATGAAATGTTTAGCTTTCACCTGACTGCACATAGACTCATGCAATATCAATAATGCCGAAAAGCCCTGTGTTCTGTTCATCGAACAGACATAGATCAAGTGAAGCCCTGTTCATACTTAATGCGAAAGCGAATGCGAAGCGAATTTGACGTCATGAAACATTCGCAGCGGAATTCGCCCGAGTTGAAATATGTTCAACTTTTACGAATTCGCAGCACAAATACTTGCCATGACGTCACAAATTCGCGTTCGCTTTCGCGCCGAGTATGAACCGGGCTTTAAACAGATATTGCACTCGGCCTTGTCAAAAACACATTACATTAAAATAAACCAATAAACAAATTAATTATTCTACAATTTTTTAATTTCAAGCTTAAAGGAGCACTTGCAAGATTTGGGCATTTCAAAATGAAAATAGTTACAAATTTTCGCAAATAACACATCCCGGTTTACATGTGGGTACATACCAACTTACAACTTACAACCAAATTGAACCTATAGTTCTAAAGATATAGACCTTAGATAAATCAACTTTAATTTGTCATCACGTGACGCGTGTTCAAGGTAAAAAGTAAAATTCAACCAAATTGGACATGTACTGTACTGTAGATTGCAGCATGTTAAAAATGAACCGTTAATGTGATGTCACGTGACACATGCCGACGTCATCAAGACGTCAATGTTTGTGGTGTGTCTGCAGGTGATGGTCCATGTGTGTGCCAAATATAAAGCCAATCGGATTAATCTAGGTGACCGAAGTGCCTGTCAGAAATAAAACGTGAACTAATGCTGTGGACAGAATTCTAAACAAGCAAAAATGTTAACAAAAAAGGCTGTTAAGACTACAATGTACATGACACACCAGGGCCACCATTCCTAATCTTCATGTCAAACCAATGCTTTCCTGTAAAAAAAAAAGGAAAGTTTTAAGGTTAGTTGTTAACAGATTGAGTGAGTGTCATTATGCATGTTACATAGCAAGACATTCAGTAATTTGGATGTTGCTGTTTATCTGAGGTTGGCAACATTTTACCCCTTGGATAGTGTAATACAATAATGTTCATTTCAACTTTACACGGGCGTATGATCCAGTCATTTATTGGAGGGACATAAATGATTGAAAAGCATTTAGGTCAGTTCTGAATGCAAGCATTTTATGTCAAGTTATACATGATGGTGCAAAGAGAAGGAAAACCACTGTTGACAGGAATTTATTAACCTACTAAACTTTTTTAACTTTTTTTTTGTGATGTAGTGAAGTACAGCTCTTAAACCATACGTGGTGAAAAAAATCTTTGAAATTATCGCAAGAATAGTGTTATTATGCTAAATTCAATACTAGTCACCAAAATGTGGTGTTTTTTTTTGTGTCTTCAAGCTCAAGTCAAGCGGATGGAATAAAGCCGTCCGTGGACAAACAGGTTTGGCACATGAAATTTACAAAACTACCCTGTCTCGGAGACAAAATATTCATTTGCAATAATTTTTTCGTCACTTTTGATTAATTAAAGGTCAATATTGTAATGCCATTAAATTGAATTTTGAAATATGCTCCACAAATACATACAATTGCTGTCAAAAGTGGATTTCCTTCTTTTTACACCACCCCAGTGCACAAACCCCCTATCCAAAGCATGCACGCATGTCAAGCGTGCAGTCATAAATATTTATCACTCATAAACCTATGTATGTAATGAAAAATATATCAACAGTGGTTTTAACCATGATTGTATGAACATGGGTCAGGTGATGTCATCTTAAAAGTGCAATTTCCAAATCCCATTTCCATAAGTGTGATCTAGTTCAAACTGTTTTTTAGTGTCGCCTTACGAGTTTCGGGGGACACCTTCCTGTTTCCTTGTATGCATCTTAAAGATAAATTACTTTCATCTCCCAAAACAAGTAGTCTCATCTCTCAAGTATTCACATCAATTCAATGGACACAAGTGTCATTGAGTAGCAAAGACAATGTGGGATAAGTTTATACCATTATTCATTATAACATTTGCCTTTGTCAATATAAATGAATGGGTGTTACTGATATTAAAGGTATAGCACATTCTCGTCCCTATGGCTCGCATTTATTTGCAACCTGGTTTCCTAAAGTAACCCCTGGGTGGGAAACTTTCAGTATCTTCCGGATTCTTGTTATCTTGATATAAACACCGCAGTTGCAAGTACATTGTATTTATATTGTGTACTTGGTCGTTTATTTCCAAAGTGCATGACGTGTTTTAATGTTCATTGTTAATTATAACGTCGTATAAGACAACGTCCGATCGTCGTGAAAATGTGTTTAGATAAATAGACTTGAGTGTGTTACTAGTATGCAAAATATTTGCATGAGGTTATGTAATGATGACGTAATCAACTGATATACCATACCATTGCTTTAATTTTTACTCTGTTGCAGACCATCAAAGTACAAGGGGTATAAATGTCTTTGTACTGACATGTTTTCTTGAATTGTTTCAGTCTGTTCCAGTTTCTGACCTAATCTTAATTTACATATCTGTCATTTTAAGCTAATTTGAAACACTCAATGTGGAAGATATCAATCAAAACCTAGATTCTAACCGTGACAAGTAGAGACCAATTATGCATTGGATTCATGTGATTTCGACCTTGGGTTATTTTATTTTTGACAACCCCATGCATTTTTCTATTTTTGGCCTCTGCAACCCTCTGGGGAAAACAAAACAAGATGTCGTATTTGTTGAGTTACAAACATGACGTTATCAGGCAGGCAACTATTCATTGGTCATCGCCTCGTTCATTTATGGATATTTTGGATCAAACCAAAATTTAATAAAATTCAGTCTTTTTCGGTATAATTTTAAAAATCTACGTTTTGGGTTTGATAGCTTTCATTTTATTTAAATGTTACTTCCAGTTTTATGGTATCGGTTCAAAATATGCAAAATTGAATGATTGATTTAGTTTTATAGACAGGATGTTTTCTGATTTTACATGTAATTATTGTGATTCCGTTTGATCTCATCTGAGTTTAATTAATTGAGTACAATTGAACCCAGCTGAGTTAAGTTAACCTCAAAGGATTTCCAAAGAGCTCAGTCGATTCCAGTTGAATCCAGGTCAGCTCAGCTAAGCAATGTTAAGCTGACTTCAGTTGTCTTTATTTGACCGTAATGGAGTTGCACGTACTCAGTTGATCTCAACTGAATCAGTGACGCCTAACCCAAGGGTACATTAATATAACTTTCCTTGCATCACAAGGGTGTACTCAAGGAGAGTGATGTACCATCTCACATGGATCAAGAAAATGTTTCAAACAATGGAAATTTATATAATAACACCTTATGTACGCTTCATACCTTTCCTGTGCAAATGAGTAATGTATCCCAGTGCATGCCATGTCGATGCAGAAAGCGTAAATTACACACAAGCACACAATTATCAAATTGTTTGATTTCAGAGTAAAACTTAGAGATTTGCGTTTGTTGAGTTATAAACGCAGGGTGATCGGGCCCAAAACATTTTCATTGGACATTCCCGGTTATGAATATTTTTTTCAGTACAAGGAAAATAATCATTTACAGCCTTATAAGTTAAACCATTCGTTTTAATTTGAAACATGCATTATTTGGGTTGTAGTACATTGTATGTAGCCTACACACATTATTTCTGGTTTGATAACGTCAGCAGTTCAAATATGCAAACTGAATTACTGAAGTTCAGCGAGGATGCATGATCATCAAAAGACGAAAAGAACTTCTGAAAACATGGAAATTATAATGAGTTGAATTGTATGCATTAAGTATACCTAGCTTCCGGTTTGGTGACGACACACCATTTTGAAGCCAAAGGCCAACATTGTACTTGGGTATTATTATTTTGTGGTACGAACATAGTCATGAGACACGGATCGAATGGGTTGAATTTAAAGGGAAAATACAACATTTGCAAACATCAAAAAGTAAAACTACTAAATTATTTTGAAGTACCTTGCTGGACCGTTAGTGAATGACAGTCTAAAGTATCCAGTACAGTAATATCATGGCACCTGGTATGCTGTCATTCTCAAGAAAAGTGGTAAATCAATTTCCAACGCTGGTCGGCCGACTGGCTTTTTTCAAATACTGGACCCAATTGACCATTTTTGTTTTGCAATAGATTACACACCTATGAATGGGTACAAGCCAGCTAGTTTAGTTCCCTGACCTTACAATTTAAATGGAGTCAGGGAACCAGACAACAGGAAAATGATTGTTTTTCTTGGTTTTCATAGCATCTACGAACCCAAAACGTAACCCCCGAAATCCATTCATTTCTGAAAATTACAGCAAAAGCAAATGATGTATATTCACTTTAAACAAAAGAAAAAATGCAATCATTTTCAACATCTCCCTACAACAACTTCCGGTCTGAAGCCTTGCAAAGTCATTTGCGGTTTTCCAAAGAATATCTATGGGCACTTTGGTAAAATATTGACAAATTGTTTTTAATTTTAAAAAGTTCAACTGTCGTTGATGTGCCACTTTAGCCCCTTCGGGATAAAGACGTCATTGTGCTCATTTATGTGTATAGCATTCCAGGCAAATCACTTCCATAATTTGTTGACTGCAGACAAACAAATTATGGAAGTGCAGTCGACTGCAGTAAAATGATTCTGGTTTCAAGTTATTTTCACTTTTCCTTGAACTTTCGGTAACACCGGAAGTAAAGGTCAAACGGCTCTGTCCTCGGGAATCCAAAGTATTGCTCAATGCAATATATAAGTGATCACAAACAACTCGAATGGTACTCCATTCATTTGAAAATTTACAGTTCAAAGTAATAATTCAAATTGTGAACCTAAATCGCTTGTAATTTGATACCCGATGACGTCATGATGACGTCACAGAAGTTTCACATGTTTGAACTGGGTTCAATTTCATACCAGGTTTTATCAACCCCATGGACCCGTTTGGAAGAAATTTGGTTCGTTTTCATTTTGAAGGCTTCTTGTCTGTATGGTAAAATTTACCTAACTTTGACCTTTAACTGGGGACATCACCATTGGCGTCCCTGCCTTGGGGACAATCGCCCCCCCCCCCCCATCTTCTCCTGCACGTATACACACCCACACAGGTTTGTTTGTGGTGTAAATCGAGTATTTATTTTATTGTTCCTCATCGCTCGAATTTGTTTGCAGTAGCTCCTATTGGTTTTGTACATGTTTTCTACTCAGGTCGTCTTTGATTTGACTCCTGTCCTCAATTAATCGATGATGCTTCATAATGTGTGTCGATTCACACTAGAAACATGCACATACACCTGTTCCAAAATTGTGGGGACTACACGTCTGTTGGGTGATAGTTATTATGGAGTCCGAAGACACTATGGGAACAGCAGAAAGTCCCCACAACAATACCAAATGTCCCTAATAATGAAAAAACGTCCGTAAAACTTGATGCCGGCTAGGGCACAAAAACACAAATTTAAAGTTTTTCGGGGGGTTGTAGACATCCAAATAAGAGGTGTCTTAGTTTTTCTTTTTTAATGATAGGGGATCGTGAGAAAAAAAATGTCAGAAAATAAATCAAATTGGTGAAGAGTAGGACATAATATGCATTGTATCTATGTGTTTAATCTAAAACAAAATCTGTGGTAATTTAAAAATGTAATCTGCCAAATCACTTGGCAATTTTTGGCAAACCGTGTCATGTGTTTCGGACTCATCTCTGAGCGTGGACTTAGTTATTTGAATTTAACAAAACTGAATGCACAAAAAGTTTATACCTTTTGTGCATTTTCATATAACTATTGCGACCCTCGTGGTACAAAACCATTTGCACTCTAATTCCGTTTCTATGCATACTGTCTGGTGTGATAAAGATGTGCTTACATTATTGTGTGTATGCCTGTACTCATACAATGTACATACAAACATAAAACATCTATTTAAAAAAAGGTATTGAAACTGTGTTAAATGTAGTTTAGTATGAGTCATTCCTGTTTACCTCATGACTGATGGATAATGTATTCTTATATAACGAGTTGTTATTTGACAAATGGAAGATGCTTTTTTTGCCAACATTTTTACCTCATTTCCTTGATACCATCTTTTAACAGTATTTAATGTACAGTAAAAAAAAATGTATATGTTTACATAACTAACTTCAGCTGCTTCACCTGAAATAATTATGTTTTTGAATGAGTTTAGTTCGATATTTATTATTCATTTTAATCTTTGTTTAACTAACCAGTGTGTTGGGCTATGCATTTATTGTGTATGGATTCCTGTTAAACGCAATAATTTGTTTTAAACACATTTAGTGAGGCTGATAAGTGACAGAATTGTGCACTTTGTAACTGAAGCATGAAACTTCGCATGTAAAGGGCTTCATGCAGTAAAGAAAATGTTCAGATGTGGAGGCATTTCATATCTTACCAAGTGACCTTTGAGAGGTCAGTGACATTTACATAACTATATTTATAACCAATTGTTCTTGAAAAACTACTTTCATATGACCATAGTCTACGTCTTCATGCCATGAAAATAATGATCAGATGTGAAGAACAATTATATTTGACCTCTGGAGACCTTAGAGTGGTCATTGACCTTTGTATACCGTATTTAAAGTTATTTATAAGATTTACTCTTTAAACTCCAACTTGTTCATTACCCGTATATAACATGTTGGTCTTCTTGCCATAATATGAATTTTAGATATGTGAACATTTCATTTTTGAGCTCTGGTGACCTTTGAGCGGTCAGTGAACGTTGTTTACGCTATTTGCTTCTATTTATCATATTTAATCCTCCAAATGCCACTTAAAGGGCAGACGCAGGCACAACAGAATATAAGAAGTACATCTGGACAAGCATCACTCTCTAACAGTGACCAGTGGACTTTGAAAAAAAAAGGTTTTTAAATGTCGTTTCCCAAGTCCATCTGTGTACAAGGAGTGTAATAGGTACCGGTACACAAGTGTGAATACTGCTAGGCATTTGTACATATTCCATTACAAAAAGGTCCCACCGCCGTCTATTCCAGTCACATCATGTTGTGTCTGCCAACAAAAATTGTTTGTGGTGTCTGAATTCATAACATGACTGTAGAATAAGGCGCAATACCTTTCGTTTGCACTATTGAGGCTTCGGTCACGAAAAAATGGCGTTTTGACGAATTAATATGATATTGATGGTCAGATAATTATGTCCCAACATCTGAAAATTCTTTTCATGGCACGAAGAACCGAATGTTAGACTTGGGTCTTGAAAAAGTGACACTTACAAGGGCAAATCTTATAAATATCTATAGATAGGGTTTACAAAGGTCATGACCTCTCGAAGGTTACCAGAGATTAAATATGAAGCGTCCCTACATACAAAAACCATTTTCATAGCATGATCACCTAATATATTAATTATTTAGACTTGGGTCTTAAAAAGATTGGGGTTTAAAGATTTGATCTTCTAATTTGCTATAAATAAGGTTTACAAATGTCACTGACCTGTGTAAGATCACCGGATGTCAGATATGAATTGTTCCCATATCAGATCGTTATTTTGATTGTATAAAGACATAATGACGTGCACTTTGGGTCATAGGAAAGTGCACTCTGAAGAACAATTGTTATATGTAAAGGTCATGTATATGCAAAGTTGAAATGCCTCCACATCTTAAAATTAACTTCATGGCATTGAAGAACCAACATGCGAAGTTTCATTCTTTAGTCACAAAGTGCACAATTGTTTCATATATTTGAAATTAACAGCCCCACTAATTAGCATGAAGTTAAAAATGACATTTAAAGCTTTATGAAACTTGCCTTCTGAGTTCACCAGTTGTTTCAATTCAAATTAATGTCTTCGAGAGCTTTGTACATAAAAAAAGGGTATTTATTTTTTTAGTTGTTATTTTTTTATGTTCTTTATACATATTTCATACATGTAATATACTTTGGATACTTTTTGGTGCAGGTTTACATTATCAGGTAACATTTAATTATCTATTTAATTGAAAGGGAAGTTACGTTGAAAGTGGTTTTTAGAAGAAGAATCACTTCAAATTGAATTGACGTCTTCTAAGAAGTTTGGCATTGAATCCATATGACATCACACGTGCATAATATACCGGTACGCATATGTGATGGGAAAATTAACAAAAACTATGTCCAAGACCAGTTTTGTTCTGGATTTTTTTTTTCAATATTGGGTTTTGCCCTCCAGCGACGTATTTTATAAACACTGTAAAATATTCACTGTCCCGAGTGATAGTGAGAGAAAAACCAATCATTCTGGTGCAAGTCGAGTGCAGACGTCTTACTACTTGACCACCGAGCTTTCACGGTCATTTTTCCCAGGCGGGTTTTCATGGCCATGAAGAGTGCTTTAACTAAAAGTCATTGTTTGACTACGCTGGGAAATGAGTTAGAATGGAATCAGTTCCCTTTTTAATGTTTTCCTATAGTTAATATGCAACTAAAAGCACCAAATAGGTCCATAAAACCTGCCTGTAAAAAAATGCTGGTCAAGGACTACTACGAGGATATAATTATAACGTTATCCCTAGGTTGTCCTGAATGTATTATATTGGCAAAAAAAGCGGGACTTTAGAAAAGAGGGACTTCAGACTTCCGAGATCTGAAGCAAGATAAAGGCTGCGTGCTGTTAAGTTTTCTCTTAAATTGTTGGCAGACGTTGAAGTGTAAAACAACATTGAAAAATAGGCCAACTATTTTTTTCACTGCAAGACAGATTGATTACATTGGTATTTTTTTTTAAAGTAAGATGTTGCCCACTTTCCACTTGTGCATTCTTCTGCAAGTATCAAACAAGGCAACTGTGGACTTCTTGTAGTTTTGTCAAGTAATCCATTTCTTATTAGAATCAAACTTCTGGGGAAAAGAGGAAGGAGTAGATTTATACACTAATATGTGAACACCCGTAACTAACGTTGTTCTATAGTTGCAGTAGAATGCCAAAAAATACCACTACGATCCTGCCATGCAGTGACAGCCTGTTATCTCTTTAATGTTGTTTTCTTCTTACAGGGATGTTTCTCCCAACCATTAAAGAGAGAAACTAACAACTCGCAGCTTCCATCTTGCTCAAACTGTTTGGTTGCTAATATTGTGAAAAATATACTTTACGATGTGCATGAATCAGTCACAATTTTAATGTCACCAAATGTTTTAAAAGTCACTATATATTTCCCGCAAAAAGTGACTTTCATTGCACCTCCCACTTCAAAAGCATCATTTTGCCACGTTTGGTGTAAAATGGCAAAAGTTATTCATACGTACGGGCAGCTTCCATACGTAGTTTCCGTGGCGCTTTCCCGCATTATGTATGAGAAGAACTCGCAAAGTGATGACGTCATACGCGAGATAGATACGGATATGGTGCGAATTTTAAACTTTCTTGTGGGTTCTTCACTTATTTGGACCCACAAATTTACTTGGAAATTTATGAATTGATGTAATCATAATAATTAGATCAGAGAGTTCACAGTTCCGTCGTCTGAAAACTTGCCAATGACACAATTTTGCAGCTCGAATGTCTCCCTGTTTACGTCAATTATTGCTATCATTATAAACTTGTCAAATTCATGTCATTTACTAGTATTACTTGTTTATTCACCGTCAGGATGTACATACATAGCTCTTGTCCAGGGATCTTTGTATCCATAGCTCATCTCGCTATTCACTAGGCTACTGTGGTAGCTCGACGACAACCGTACTTTAAAATGTTTTAATGTAACTGATAGACTAACAACAACGCTCTTGATATCGTTGTTCTGTTCTCGTGAATAAACATACTGGCCCGATCGAAACTACTGAATTATTCATGACTTGGCACAACCTCCTGAATTATTCATGGCCCCAACCGTCCGATCCTAAAGTGGCAGTCACAACCGGAAGTGTGAGGTCACACATGATTGTCTGATGTAAAATTTATCCTGTGTACGCTAGCGCTGCACGAGATTTCTGATATATATATGCATGGTATATATGAAATGGTGCAGCACCTTCGAAATCCCAGATTTTGATTTTGTTTTGCCATCTCACTCAAAACAATATTGCTATTACGCAAACATAACGTTGAGGATAAAACAAGGTCGCAAATCTGTTTGTCGATTGAATCTATACCACGCCCACTTGGGGCCAACATGCAAATTTAGGTCAACGTATTAAACATCAACTGAGGCACTGCAACGATATGGTTAAATACGAATTACGATGAATATTCTTTCTTAAATCTGTCAAGTTTTCGCTCCAAATTGTGGAATATCCCACTTCCATTTTTTTTATTGAGAGGATAATGAATAATTTTGATATTTTGCGGGATTTATCGGACAAAGACAATGACGAAAATGCTGATCTCAGTGATCAGCTGAAATGTCAGCGCCAAAATGTGCATGATTGATCAATTTTTTGGCCGGTCATTTGGTTCAAATCGTATCACCTCTGCGGCTTGCTACTAAAGTGACCATTGACGACGAGTACAAGACGTGTTTACTCGGCAGTGGATCAAATTTCCCTAATGTTACCGCTCAAAGTAATTTTTAGTTCAGAATCACTGCTGGCGGGTGCATTATAAAGTTATGACTAGTGAATCACTCCTGTTGCGTTTTATTGTCAGCACTGACTTGTGAATCACTCCTGATGGATTTATTGCCAGTTATGACTTGAGAATCACTCCTGATGGGTTTATTACCGAGTTATGACTTAAGGAACACTCCTGATGAGTTTATTATGAAGCAATGACCTGTGAATCACTCCTGATTAGTTTTATTGTTAAGATTTGACTTGGGAATCACTCCTGACGGGTTTATTGCCAGTTATGACTAGAGAATCTCTTCTAAAGAGGTATATTACCAGTTATGAATTGAGAATCACTCTGACGGGTTTATTATGAAGTTTTGACCTGTGAATCAATTCTGATTAGTTCATTGCTAAGTTTTGACTTGGGAATCACTCCTGACGGGGTTATTGCCAGTAACGACTTGCGAATCTCTCCTGATGAGTTTATTGCTAAGTTTTGACTTAAGAATCACTTCTGGCAGGTATATTACCAAATATGACTATTGAATCACTCCCGACGCGTTTATTGCCAGTTATGACTAATGAATCACACCTGACGGGTTCATTACGAAGTTATGACCGGTGAATCACTCCTGATGAGTTGTTACCCAGTTTTGACCTGTGATTTACTGCTGACGGGTATAGTGCCCGTTATGACTAGCGAGTCACTCCCGACGCGTTATTGCCAGTGAATCACTTGAGAATCTCTCCCTACGCTTTTATCGCCAGTTATGACTGATGAATCACACCTGACTTTTTTTTTAACGAAGTTATGACCAGTGAATCACTCCTGATGAGTTTGTTACCCAGTTTTGACCTGGCAATCACTCCTGATGAGTTTATTACGAAGTTATGACCAGTGGATCACTCCTGATGAGTTTTGACTTGGCAATCACTCCTGGCGGGTATATTGCCAGTTATGACTATTGAATCACTCCTGACGAGTTAGCCAGTTATGACTTATGAATCACTCCTGACGGGTTTATTACGAAGTTATCACCAGTGAATCACTCCTGATGAGTTGTTACCCAGTTCTGACCTGTGATTTACTGCTGGTAGGTATATTGCCCGTTATGACAAGTGAATCACTCCTGAAGGGGTTAATTACCAGTTATGAATTGTGAATCACTCCTGGCGTGTATAAGGCAGTTACGACTTGAGAATCACTCCTGACTGTTTTTTTTATATTTTTTTTTTATCTAGTACTTGTGAATCAATCCTGAAGAGTTTGGTCTCCCAGTTATGACTTTTGAATCGCTCTTGATAAGTTTATTTCACAGTTATGACCAGTGAATCACTTCTAATGATTTATTACCCAGTTTTGACTTGAGAATCACCCCTGATTAGGACGATTTTGACATGGTAGTCAAAATAGTGCTGTTGGCCCCTTCGAGGCAGTTTTAACATAGGTCCAGTTTAAATCTCCATTAACGCAAGGGGTGGTTTCCACAATGTGCCCAGATCAAAAGCCTCATTGTCATTGCCACTGACCCTCACAAATGCATTTTACCCCACCGCGGTGGCATGCCTTCGCTGTGACACTCATTTGAAAAAAGCTCATATCATCTATATATATAAGAGCAAGTTTTACTCGGCCTCCGAGAAATGTTTGCTCCTGAAAGGATCCAAGACCGCGGTCTCCCGTGGCCCCACAATCGCTCTACGTCCGTGGAAAATGTGGAGGGTGTCTTCCGCCGGGTTTGACACTTTGGGTCGTCCTAATTTTTCCGTACGGACCGGCGATCGTTTCGTCGATTTTTAGGGATTGCCTTTTGCACATGAATTTGCCGTCGTGTGCGCTTTCACGTTGACTGCCTGGCTGCCCTCTGTGTTGACTTTTCTGCGAGTCAAGACAGTGCAAGGTCAGCGACTTCAACGTAGGGGTTCCGTTTACGTGTTCTACTCGGCCGTTCTACAACAGCGTTCACCAAAAGGTAGCCTTGGGTGACCTTGGCAAAATATTTTTTCTCCATGGTGCGTGGCCACCAAGTGTCCCTATTGTTTCCTATGCTTTGCTTGCCGCCCCTGCGCCGAGTGCAATGAATACTTAGGATGACTACACATTAGTATACCTTGCGCGGTCTGACCAAACGAAAGTCTACACTGCGTACTACTTCCCGGCTATGCAAAAAAACTGTCGCGGCAACGCGTACTGCAGCCTGCTCGACACCCTGGAAACGAGGTTGGGTCTACAGTGCTCGCTATGCAACTTTATCATCACGTCACACGCTTGTACAAGCGTGTGACGTGTGATAAAGTGCTGTTGCTTTTACCATGCATGGAAGAGTGTTTTGAGTCCGCTGCCCGCCACGTATAATTCAGTGTCGCGTTATAATTTCGGGGGCCTGTTTGGGATCAACGAAGGATCGATGCATTGCTTCAAATATCGCAATCTTTGAACTACGTTGGGTTGGAATAACGAAGAGTGCATAATAAATCCATTGGCGGTTGTTGGCTGTTTGGACTTGCTTTATTAATAAGGGTTGAACCAACTTGAATAAAACAGTTAAATCAACGTTTTCCTCGCAGGTCTTGCAAATTGTAAGAATTGTAAGAAGTTTACGTTTGTTGATGAGTCCAATACTGTATCTTCATAATGACCTTCCTCCATGATTCAGACTTTGTAATGTTATGGTTACACACTCAACATTTTCATTGCAAATGCCACCTTCACGTTTTATTGCATTATGATTTATTGTCAAAGCTGTACAATCAGCTTTCGCCTACGGTAAGTCTTTCATCTCAGTTTTCCCACAAAATAATGCGACTGCCTCACAAAATGCCAATTTAACAGACCAACGAGAAAATTTACAAGCAGTCATGCATGCCATGGTACATAATTATCATGGGCGTCAATTGCCCACCCCAACATTTTAAAGCGGGGAATATCGTTTTGTCCCCCCCCCCCAACTTTTTCTTCCCGAATAAAAATTGTAGCCTACTATAATATTCTTTTGCTCAGAATAGCTGATTCAATGACTCCAAACTCAAATGATGTTTAAAAGATGATCTTTAAGTTGTTCAAACAATACAGTAGTGTTAGTATCGTGGTCAGAAATTGCCTAAGATAGCGCCGCAGAAATTGCTTTTCTATAACTGCATGTCTTCTAAACTAAATCCCCATTTACATTTAACTCCCCACATTTTCAACCCCAACACAAATACGCCCTACCCGATCTATGATCGGGTAAATCAGCTTGTACGTTAATATACTCGAAACCTACAGACGAAATAGGGTAATGGCAAACGGGAACAGCTCCCCCGATGAACTTCTCAACAACTAGACAATGCATCATCGTCCCTCGTCCTCACATCACTTGATATACTATTTAACCTTGTCTTGACATAAGCAGGAAGCACAAGTCACATTTGTCAAATCACCGTTGCGACACAACTGCAGGAGTGATTCACTGATCATAACTGGCAATAAACTCACAAGGAATGACTGACATTACATAACTGGTACTGAGCCTGTGGAGTGATTCACAGGTCATAACCTCGTTATAAACCGTCAGGAGTGATTCTCAAGTCATAACTGGCAATAAACCCGTAAAAAAGTGGTTCTCAAGTCGTGACTGGTAATATACCCGCCAGCAGTAATTCACAAGTCATAACATTGTGATAAACCTGCCAGGAGTGACAGGTTTAGTTTAGATAAGTTTATACTCATCAGGAATTATTCACAGGTTATAACTGGTCATATACCCGCCATGAGTGATTTCTAGGTCATTCCTAGTACTAAACTCATCAGAAGTAATTCATAATTCATAAATGACATTATACCCATCAGGAGAGATTCATAGGTCATAACTTGGTAATAAACTCATCAGAAGTGATACACAAGTCATTCCTAGTACTAAACCCGTCAAGAGTGATTCACAAGTCATAACTGGTAATATTCCTTTCTAGCTCGGGCCATTTGGGGCTTTTTGAGTTAAAGCGCATAACTGCTTTCTCTTTTATATTTGTTGATATTGTTGTACATATCTTTTAGTACTTGGTCCTGTGTCACTATTTGTTGTTTTGTTTGACCGAGGAAATCATACGTTCTACCCCTCGATAACGGAAAAGCTTCTCCTGAAGGCCCTAGGATTAGCGGGAAAACTACGAGAACATACAACAAGGAGAAAGATATCATCATCCACGCAAAACAGACAGTGGTATTCAACGACCAGGTGCCTTGGAGAAAGCGTAATGCAGACAGTAAATTCAATGTCATGACGAACGTCGAACGGCGCGGAGTCATGCGAGCTGTATGTAGC